CCTCTCCTCATCGCCCATCCTCACCACTGGATACTAACATAATCCCCAAAGTGAGTACTTGTTTCTGGAAAAAGTGAATCTATGGATGAACAGTGTTTAAGCCAGTGAATTCAGCACTATGTAGTGCCAGCCAGAGCTGTGACCCACCAGTGAAGTCCACACCCAGAGATCAGTTCCCCTGGGAACAGACCACCATCTTCTGACCAAGCAGTGTTAATCAGTCCACCCTGGGAACAAACGTGGGTCAGCTTTACACCTGACCAAAAGCTAACACAACACCACATAGCAGAGAGTGAGGTACTGTGACACCACCCCACACCACTCGGTGTCTCCTTGACCACGTGAGGTCCTTCTTGTCAACACCTATGGACGAGTTAATACACCACGTGAACACCGCACCACACGGTGTCTCCATGACCACATGAAGTCCTTCATGTCAACATCTACGGATGAATTACTGCACCACGACGCCCAAGGGACCTCACACAGTAGGGCAATAGACCAGCCCGGGCAATCAACTGTAAACTATAATAATTTGTATGTTCAATTCATGTTCCTTCTTCTTTCAGTAATGAAAGCTTTTTTAAACGACCCACCCACCCCATGTCTTTGTATGTAATAAGTTATTTCTATCCAATGTATTTTTCGGCCTTCGGGCTGCAGAACTTTTTCAATAAACCGTTATCTATTATTATTATTATTATTATATACAGTACGCGTATATTAAGGACCCAACACTCATTACCAGCAGTGAAGGTACAGAACTGAGTCTTCACCTGTCACCTTAGCGCAGGTGTTCACTGTATTCTAATATCAATACCAAAACATACTCCAGACGCATACAAACCATGTCCACGAACCGCTACTATGGCAAAGATAATAACAAATTAGTGATACTGCAAATTATTTCAGTTATGGCTGAAGATTGTCTTTTGTCGTCGTTTTCTTTAAACACCTAAAAAACCTGTTTTATCATTGTGCAACGGTTACCGTGGCAACAACTGGTCAGGTTTAGTGTAATTTGCACAAAATGTTTAATTTGTAAACCTTGTCACATATTTATCAATCCTTCCAAAGTTTGCTGAAATCTGCAAATCTGTTCTGGAATTACTTTGGGATAAACGGACAGAGATACAGACAGACAGAATGGACCTAAAACGGTCCCCGACTCAGGTATTATGGGAGGATAATTATAGTACCTGTTCTACTGGACCATTAGTGGCATTAGTCCTCTTTTATTAATAATCTGATAATTTAGTAAGACAGTGATATATATATATATATATATATATATATATATATATATATATATATATATATAGAGAGAGAGAGAGATAGAGAGAGAGAGAGAGAGAGAGAGAGAGAGAGCACATTTCGTTTATTAAGGTTGTTTGGCAATATTGTAAGTCAAATATAATCCTTTATACACTGTAAGAATGTTGATCATGAGAAGGGTCAAGAAGGTTCATTGATGACTTATTTGGTGGTGTCCATAGTAACACGGTGTTGAGGAGACCACACGGCGGCCTTTGCGAGGTCAAGAACAAAGAGGTAAACCAAAGTATTCAGGGCAGGTGGAGGCAGGTAGAGAGAAAGAGCGAGCAGGTATAAAAGGCCCACAGCTCCGTCGACCAGCACAGTCGATCCAAGACAGCCAAAGCAACATGTTCTCGGTAAGACCTGCCCGGGACTGTCCTGTTATGGTCTGGGGAATGATGAATAACACACCTTTATTCTGATGAGTTAGTTATTGATACTACTGCACAACCACCTAACATCTATAGCTGCCACTCGTGTGGTAGAGAGGGCCATCTAGCGGTGATTCTTCCTTGTGTTGACACTGTATTACAGGACGGGTTTAGTTTATGAGTTAAGGAGGGGAGGCAAGGTGAGTGTCACCTGGAGGTTCACTCAGTGACTTCATCACACACGACTAAAGGTGATGCCTAATATATATATTCCTACAACATCAATAATCCTATAATTATATATTCTTACTTCTCTTATGATTTTGAAGTTGTATATGTTCTTACAGAAGTTGGTCCTGTGTGCCTTACTGGCAGTAGTGGCTGCCAAGCCCCAGGGAGGATACGGGGCACCTCAGCCATCCTACACCTCAGGTCCTGTAGTCCCCATCCTGAAGGACGAGCGTCAGGGACCTGATGAGTTCGGCAACTACAACTTCGAGTTCGAGACTGGTGACGGCATCAGTCGCCATGAGCAGGGCGCCCCCCAGGGGGAGACTGGCGCCGTGGCGTCTCAGGGAGGATGGTCGTGAGTATCTATGGTGTACACGTCCCTAAGTAATGTTGGTCAGAGTTGTATCTTGAGCTTTAATAAGAGACGAGAAGTAACTTCCACAGGTGTCTGCTATATAACAGTGTAGGAGAAGGTGTTTGAAGGCTGGTGGTGGTGTGGCCTTCAGTGGTCCGTCGGCAAAGATTTGATTTTTTTTCTTTCTTTCAGATTCACCTTCCCTGACGGCACCCCAGGAGTCTTCAACTTCGTGGCCGACGCTGCAGGTGGTTACCAGGTACAATCTGACCTGCTGCCCACGCCCCATCCTCTCCCCGCCCACGCCATCGCCCAGATCGAATTCGCCCGTCTTAACCCAAGCCCTTCCTCCGGCCCCGGACCCCAGTACGGTGGTCCTCCCCCACGGTACAACTAAACACCTGAGGACCCCCAGTGCCTCTATACCCACTATCCTGTCCCTTCAACACTGAGTCACCCAAGTTAATAAGTCCCTTCCAGTCTCCGTTACCTGGTGGTCACGACTCCTTCAGTAGTGACCATCAGCAGTGAGGGAGACCAAGGGATGGATTCTTATTTTCTCAACAAGACTTCCAGAAAAACCTTGAGGCAACTTCGCCGATTATTCTGGTCACCTTCTGGTCCACACTGTGTCAACCTTCCACTGTAGGGATGTACAGCTGTAGTCTTCTTGTAGGTCTTGATTATATTCCCCACTTGGAGAGTACTACAGAGGCCAGGTTGACCTCTCCCTCCTCCCTATGACTGTAGTTGGGCTGCCCGAATACTTTCTCACCTCCTGTTGACCTTCTCACTCTCATCACTCTAGTGTTATACGATGGATCTTGTCTACGTATTTATTAATATTTGTTGATTTTGTAGATATGTGATTAAACGATGAACCGCAAATGTCCTGTTTCCTATCTTTATTGTGATCTAAAACCATATTTCCTGAAGTACCTGACCAGCCGTACACATCAACCGATATTAATATAATCCACACTGAAAAGTTCTTGGATAATACCTGAAGTTTATGAAGATGGCTAAAAGGTTTAATTCCCTGCAACTTAGAGGAACAAAACTGCTGACCACACACACACACACACACACACACACACACACACACACACACACACACACACACACACATGCACACACTACATCCTTGACCACCAGAAGGTCAAGACCTATCAGGCGCCCACTCCGGCAGTTGCGGCCTCGGCGAATGTTGGGCCATTCCTCAAGTCCCTCTCCTCGACCCATCCTCACCACCGGGATATCAACATAATCCCGCCAAAAGTGACGATTTCGTTTCGGAAAAAAGTGGGATCAGTGATGAACAGTGTTTAAGCCAGTGAATTCAGCACTAAGTAGTGCCAGCCAGAGCTGTGACCCACCAGTGAAGTCCACACCCAGAGATCAGTACCCCTGGGAACCGACCACCATCTTCTGACCAAGCAGTGTTAATCAGTCCACCCTGGGAACAAACGTGGGTCGGCTTTACACCTGGCCATAAGCTAACACAACACCACATAGCAGAGAGTGAGGTACTGTGACACCACCCCACACCACTCGGTGTCTCCTTGACCACGTGAGGTCCTTCTTGTCAACACCTATGGACGAGTTAATACACCACGTAAACACCGCACCACACGGCGTCTCCATGACCACATGAAGTCCTCCATGTCAACATCTACGGATGAATTACTGCACCACGAGGCCCAAGGGACCTCACACAGTAGGGCAAAAGACCAGCCCGGGCAATCAACTGTAAACTATAATAATTTGTATGTTCAATTCATGTTCCTTCTTCTTTCAGTAATGAAAGCTTTTTCAAACAACCCACCCACCCCATGTCTTTGTATGTAATAAGTTATTTCTATCCAATGTATATTTTCGGCCTTCGGGCTGCAGAACTTTTTCAATAAACCGTTATCTATTATTATTATATACAGTACGCGTATATTAAGGACCCAACACTCATTACCAGCAGTGAAGGTACAGAACTGAGTCTTCACCTGTCACCTTAGCGCAGGTGTTCACTGTATTCTAATATCAATACCAAAACATACTCCAGACGCATACAAACCATGTCCACGAACGGCTACTATGGCAAAGATAATAACAAATTAGTGATACTGCAAATTATTTCAGTTATGGCTGAAGATTGTCTTTTGTCGTCGTTTTCTTTAAACACCTAAAAAACCTGTTTTATCATTGTGCAACGGTTACCGTGGCAACAACTGGTCAGGTTTAGTGTAATTTGCACAAAATGTTTAATTTGTAAACCTTGTCACATATTTATCAATCCTTCCAAAGTTTGCTGAAATCTGCAAATCTGTTCTGGAATTATTTTGGGATAAACGGACAGAGAGACAGACAGACAGAATGGACCTAAAACGGTCCCCGACTCAGGTATTATGGGAGGATAATTATAGTACCTGTTCTACTGGACCATTAGTGGCATTAGTCCTCTTTTATTAATAATCTGATAATTTAGTAAGACAGTGATAGAGACATCTAGCTGTTAAGTATTACTCATAAATGTTCAGTAAGTCAAACATAATCCTCTACACCCAAGAATACACACCACAATGGCTGCTAATCACGAGTATGCCACCAAGAAATGGTCTGGCTGATGGACTTAATACACTCAGGGATGTGGTCCTGTTGCAACACGGTGTTGAGGAGACCACACGGCGGCCTTTGAGAGGTAAAGAACAAAGAGGTAAACCAAAGTATTCAAGGCAGGTGGAGGCAGGTAGAGAGAAAGAGCGAGCAGGTATATAAAGGCCCACAGCTCCGTCGACCAGCACAGTCGATCCAAGACAGCCAAAGCAACATGTTCTCGGTAAGACCTGCCCGGGACTGTCCTGTTATGGTCTGGGGAATGATGAATGACACACCTTTATTCTGATGAGTTAGTTATTGATACTACTGCACAACCACCTAACATCTATAGCTGCCACTCGTGTGGTAGAGAGGGACATCTAGCGGTGATTCTTCCTTGTGTTGACACTGTATTACAGGACGGGTTTAGTTTATGAGTTAAGGAGGGGAGGTAAGGTGAGTGTCACCTGGAGCTTCACTCAGTGACTTCATCACACACGACTAAAGGTGATGCCTAATATATATATTCCTACAACATCAATAATCCTATAATTATATATTCTTACTTCTCTTATGATTTTGAAGTTGTATATGTTCTTACAGAAGTTGGTCCTGTGTGCCTTACTGGCAGTAGTGGCTGCCAAGCCCCAGGGAGGATACGGGGCACCTCAGCCATCCTACACCTCAGGTCCTGTAGTCCCCATCCTGAAGGACGAGCGTCAGGGACCTGATGAGTTCGGCAACTACAACTTCGAGTTCGAGACTGGTGACGGCATCAGTCGCCATGAGCAGGGCGCCCCCCAGGGGGAGACTGGCGCCGTGGCGTCTCAGGGAGGATGGTCGTGAGTATCTATGGTGTACACGTCCCTAAGTAATGTTGGTCAGAGTTGTATCTTGAGCTTTAATAAGAGACGTGAAGTAACTTCCACAGGTGTCTGCTATATAACAGTGTAGGAGAAGGTGTTTGAAGGCTGGTGGTGGTGTGGCCTTCAGTGGTCCGTCGGCAAAGATTTGATAATTATTTTCCCTTTCAGATTCACCTTCCCTGACGGCACCCCAGGAGTCTTCAACTTCGTGGCCGACGCTGCAGGTGGTTACCAGGTACAGTCTGACCTGCTGCCCACGCCCCATCCTCTCCCCGCCCACGCCATCGCCCAGATCGAATTCGCCCGTCTTAACCCAAGCCCTTCCTCCGGCCCCGGACCCCAGTACGGTGGTCCTCCCCCACGGTACAACTAAACACCTGAGGACCCCCAGTGCCTCTATACCCACTATCCTGTCCCTTCAACACTGAGTCGCCCAAGTTAATAAGTCCCTTCCAGTCTCCGTTACCTGGTGGTCACGACTCCCTCAGTAGTGACCATCAGCAGTGAGGGAGACCAAGGGATGGATTCTTATTTTCTCAACAAGACTTCCAGAAAAACCTTGAGGCAACTTCGCCGAATATTCTGGTCACCTTCTGGTCCACACTGTGTCAACCTTCCACTGTAGGGATGTACAGCTGTAGTCTTCTTGTAGGTCTTGATTATATTCCCCACTTGGAGAGTACTACAGAGGCCAGGTTGACCTCTCCCTCCTCCCTATGACTGTAGTTGGGCTGCCTGAATACTTTCTCACCTCCTGTTGACCTTCTCACTCTCATCACTCTAGTGTTATACGATGGATCTTGTCTACGTATTTATTAATATTTGTTGATTTTGTAGATATGTGATTAAACGATGAACCGCAAATGTCCTGTTTCCTATCTTTATTGTGATCTAAAACCATATTTCCTGAAGTACCTGACCAGCCGTACACATCAACCTATATTAATATAATCCACACTGGAAAGTTCTCGGATAATACCTGAAGTTTATGAAGATGGCTAAAAGGTTTAATTCCCTACAACTTAGTAGAGGAACAAAACTGCTGACCACACACACACACACAAACGCACACTACACACACACACACACACACACACACACACACACACACACACACACACACACACACACACACACACACACATGCACACACTACATCCTTGACCACCAGAAGGTCAAGACCTATCAGGCGCCCACTCCGGCAGTTGCGGCCTCGGCGAATGTTGGGCCATTCCTCAAGTCCCTCTCCTCGACCCATCCTCACCACCGGGATATCAACATAATCCCGCCAAAAGTGACGATTTCGTTTCGGAAAAAAGTGGGATCAGTGATGAACAGTGTTTAAGCCAGTGAATTCAGCACTAAGTAGTGCCAGCCAGAGCTGTGACCCACCAGTGAAGTCCACACCCAGAGATCAGTACCCCTGGGAACCGACCACCATCTTCTGACCAAGCAGTGTTAATCAGTCCACCCTGGGAACAAACGTGGGTCGGCTTTACACCTGGCCATAAGCTAACACAACACCACATAGCAGAGAGTGAGGTACTGTGACACCACCCCACACCACTCGGTGTCTCCTTGACCACGTGAGGTCCTTCTTGTCAACACCTATGGACGAGTTAATACACCACGTAAACACCGCACCACACGGCGTCTCCATGACCACATGAAGTCCTCCATGTCAACATCTACGGATGAATTACTGCACCACGAGGCCCAAGGGACCTCACACAGTAGGGCAAAAGACCAGCCCGGGCAATCAACTGTAAACTATAATAATTTGTATGTTCAATTCATGTTCCTTCTTCTTTCAGTAATGAAAGCTTTTTCAAACAACCCACCCACCCCATGTCTTTGTATGTAATAAGTTATTTCTATCCAATGTATATTTTCGGCCTTCGGGCTGCAGAACTTTTTCAATAAACCGTTATCTATTATTATTATTATTATTATATACAGTACGCGTATATTAAGGACCCAACACTCATTACCAGCAGTGAAGGTACAGAACTGAGTCTTCACCTGTCACCTTAGCGCAGGTGTTCACTGTATTCTAATATCAATACCAAAACATACTCCAGACGCATACAAACCATGTCCACGAACCGCTACTATGGCAAAGATAATAACAAATTAGTGATACTGCAAATTATTTCAGTTATGGCTGAAGATTGTCTTTTGTCGTCGTTTTCTTTAAACACCTAAAAAACCTGTTTTATCATTGTGCAACGGTTACCGTGGCAACAACTGGTCAGGTTTAGTGTAATTTGCACAAAATGTTTAATTTGTAAACCTTGTCACATATTTATCAATCCTTCCAAAGTTTGCTGAAATCTGCAAATCTGTTCTGGAATTATTTTGGGATAAACGGACAGAGAGACAGACAGACAGAATGGACCTAAAACGGTCCCCGACTCAAGTATTATGGGAGGATAATTATAGTACCTGTTCTACTGGACCATTATTGGCATTAGTCCTCTTTTATTAATAATCTGATAATTTAGTAAGACAGTAATATATATATATATATATATATATATATATATATATATATATATATATATATATATATATATATATATATATATATATATATATATATATATATATATATATATATATATACATATATATATATATACAGAGAGAGAGAGAGAGAGAGAGAGAGAGAGAGAGAGAGAGAGAGTACATCTATGCTTCATTAAGTATTACTCATAAATGTTCAGTAAGTCAAACATAATCCTCTACACCCAAGAATACACACCACAATGGCTGCTAATCACGAGTATGCCACCAAGAAATGGTCTGGCTGATGGACTTAATACACTCAGGGATGTGGTCCTGTTGCAACACGGTGTTGAGGAGACCACACGGCGGCCTTTGAGAGGTGAAGAACAAAGAGGTAAACCAAAGTATTCAAGGCAGGTGGAGGCAGGTAGAGAGAAAGAGCGAGCAGGTATATAAAGGCCCACAGCTCCGTCGACCAGCACAGTCGATCCAAGACAGCCAAAGCAACATGTTCTCGGTAAGACCTGCCCGGGACTGTCCTGTTATGGTCTGGGGAATGATGAATAACACATATTTATTCTGATGCACAACCACCTAACATCTATAGCTGCCACTCGTGTGGTAGAGAGGGCCATCTAGCGGTGATTCTTCCTTGTGTTGACACTGTATTACAGGACGGGTTTAGTTTATGAGTTAAGGAGGGGAGGCAAGGTGAGTGTCACCTGGAGGTTCGCTCAGTGACTTCATCACACACGACTAAAGGTGATGCCTAATATATATATTCCTACAACATCAATAATCCTATAATTATATATTTTTACTTCTCTTATGATTTTGAAGTTGTATATGTTCTTACAGAAGTTGGTCCTGTGTGCCTTACTGGCAGTAGCGGCTGCCAAGCCCCAGGGAGGATACGGGGCACCTCAGCCATCCTACACCTCAGGTCCTGTAGTCCCCATCCTGAGGGACGAGCGTCAGGGACCTGATGAGTTCGGCAACTACAACTTCGAGTTCGAGACTGGTGACGGCATCAGTCGTCATGAGCAGGGCGCCCCCCAGGGGGAGACTGGCGCCGTGGCGTCTCAGGGAGGATGGTCGTGAGTATCTATGGTGTACACGTCCCTAAGTAATGTTGGTCAGAGTTGTATCTTGAGCTTTAATAAGAGACGTGAAGTAACTTCCACAGGTGTCTGCTATATAACAGTGTAGGAGAAGGTGTTTGAAGGCTGGTGGTGGTGTGGCCTTCAGTGGTCCGTCGGCAAAGATTTGATAATTATTTTCCCTTTCAGATTCACCTTCCCTGACGGCACCCCAGGAGTCTTCAACTTCGTGGCCGACGCTGCAGGTGGTTACCAGGTACAGTCTGACCTGCTGCCCACGCCCCATCCTCTCCCCGCCCACGCCATCGCCCAGATCGAATTCGCCCGTCTTAACCCAAGCCCTTCCTCCGGCCCCGGACCCCAGTACGGTGGTCCTCCCCCACGGTACAACTAAACACCTGAGGACCCCCAGTGCCTCTATACCCACTATCCTGTCCCTTCAACACTGAGTCGCCCAAGTTAATAAGTCCCTTCCAGTCTCCGTTACCTGGTGGTCACGACTCCCTCAGTAGTGACCATCAGCAGTGAGGGAGACCAAGGGATGGATTCTTATTTTCTCAACAAGACTTCCAGAAAAACCTTGAGGCAACTTCGCCGAATATTCTGGTCACCTTCTGGTCCACACTGTGTCAACCTTCCACTGTAGGGATGTACAGCTGTAGTCTTCTTGTAGGTCTTGATTATATTCCCCACTTGGAGAGTACTACAGAGGCCAGGTTGACCTCTCCCTCCTCCCTATGACTGTAGTTGGGCTGCCTGAATACTTTCTCACCTCCTGTTGACCTTCTCACTCTCATCACTCTAGTGTTATACGATGGATCTTGTCTACGTATTTATTAATATTTGTTGATTTTGTAGATATGTGATTAAACGATGAACCGCAAATGTCCTGTTTCCTATCTTTATTGTGGTCTAAACCCATATTTCCTGAAGTACCTGACCAGCCGTACACATCAACCTATATTAATATAATCCACACTGAAAAGATCTTGGATAATACCTGAAGTTTATGAAGATGGTTTGATATTAAAGGGTTCAATTGCCTATCAATGGAATCAGATGCTGATGTTACCTTGTCAACTCGACTCTGCTGTGACGTAAACAAGGCCAGTTTCTGACCAAAATTATTTACGTATTAATAAACCAAACATTCTAATATATAAGAAACGGAAATTAACTATACATCTCTATAAAAAGGCACTTGATGCAAATTAGTTAAGGAGTTTCATATAAGTAAATCAAGAAGAAGTTACAGGTATTGTAGGACACAGAAAATTGTATATAAATTTTCATACAATGTCATGATAAAAGACAATACCTATAACTGTGAAGGGGAAGAAAATGGTTGTACACACACACACACACAGTCTGCAAATTTGGTGAGAAACTTCTGCACCATCCTCGACACCGGCTCCTACTACCACCCGAGATCCCTCGTCCGAGAATTTCTGTTTGACACCAAAACCGCATCCAGCCCATACGAGCATTTACTGATCTCTAATAGAACAGCCCAGTCCCAACCATTGTAAAGTTATCAATAACTTATAATCAACCAGTGTATTCACTCCAAGTCAATCTTACCTTTTTGCACTGTCACTATGTTGAAATGCCCTGTAGTGTGACCTTCTCCCCACCTAGTTATTATATATCATATTTGTATCACTTATGTTACTTGTATATTATTTGTCAATCAAGTGACCCATTCCCCAATTATATAACTATATTTTCAGCCTTCCGGCTGCCATGCTCTTTCAATAAACCGTTAATTATTATTATTATTATTATTATTATTTCACACACACACACACACACACACACACACACATTGTGTAACTCCTGTCATTTTACAACAAAATAAAACAAAATAACAATAAGAGAGAGAATTTGGACCAAAATGTAAGAATTAAGAAATTGAATAATTATCACAAAAGAACAAAAATAAAATAGTGAAAATGAACTGTTGTGTTAATCACTCACTGACGGACACCTGTTAATACTGGGGTACTGGGGCCTAACACTAATGAGAGCCATCAGTACTGGTTATTATTACAGCTGGACTGAGGGTTAGGCTAGGTTAGGTATAGGTTAGGTATACGTTAGGTTAGGTTAGGTTAGGTTGCGTGTCTGAGTCCAGGTCAAATAGTCAGTTAGTTTCGTTTTACCAGTGAGTCAGATCTGGATTTCCATTTGTCGTTCGTAATATTTACCTGTGTTGAGTATCTTTAAACATATAAGAAAACTTTATTATTATTATTA